GTGTGTTTGGAGACACGAATTAAGCAGGCAGGTATTTGAACAACAGTCATTTTTTTGGAACTTTTAGAATTAGTTAATTTATGTATGTACCATATGATTATGTAGGCATGTTAGAAAAGATGTTACTTGCGATTAATAGCAAAAGGCAAAGTTTTAAAGCCCAAAACATTTTGTATTTAAATTATAGGTATATGCACATATGTATGTATGTATTTCTGTAATATGTTTAATTTTTTGTTTTTCTTAGCCTTTGCTTATGGGCTCTAGGCGATCCTGCTTGTTGCTTGATTAGCCCAAGGGGTATCGCTGGAAATATTGCAAGTAGGAATACTTGACTTTGCAAAAAAAATTTTTTTTTGAAAGAATATAACGGTGTGTTTGGAGACACAAAATAAGCTGAGGCAGATACCGTATATTGTTTTCTTTTTCAGTTATTTTGTTCAGTTATTTATTTCTAACGAAATACCGATAAAACTGTAAATCAACATACATAAGTATGTGCATAAAATGCCTCTATTTTAAATGTAATTGGAATGGACTCACTTTTTTTCCGCCAAGGGTTTTTGGGAGTAATACTTATGAATGTGTATGCTTCTTCTCGTTTTTCTCTGTTTTAATTTTGTTCTTGTCTCCGGCGTTTTTCCTGTGCGTTACTGTCCTCCTCTCTGCGTGCTTGGTGGATATAATTCCCGTGCTTTTTGTTGATTTTTTCTCTTAGTTTTGGTTAAATCGCGCCCGTTTTTAATTTTTGGTGATTTTTTGTGTTAGTTTTGTATATCAATTGAATTCGCGCCCGTTGTAGTAATTTTGTTTAACCACTGTTAGTATGTATTTAGGTATGCATATATGTACATATATTAGTACTTTTGTACTTTTCGTTTTTGAACTTTTTTTTGTACTTTTCACTTTAATTTTTACGTTTTTCCTTTTTTTTTCTTTAGGTGCCTTTCAAAGAGGCTCGAAGGACCATTTGTTGACTTCACTTATTTTTTCACCTTGGGTGCGGTGTTATACTCACTTTTACTATTGCACGACTTTTAGTGAAAAACTCTTTAATTAATTTTTTTAAACGTTAGTATATATTATATAATATATTTTTTGATAATACTTTATAAAATAAAAATTTCACTTTCTTATATTTGTGGTTTTAAATAATTTATAATACACTTCCAATTTATAATTTCACTTTTATTTTATGCGACGAAAATCACTCCTTATAGGTCATGGATGAAATCGAAAAGAGTGCCCATCCCGGTCTGATTGGTCCCTTTTGATCATTCGGGTGGTGGAAAAAACGGTAGTTGCAGTGTGGGTGTATAGTGTAGGTGTATAGTGTGGTTGATTGATTGTTTATGGTTGAGTTTGTGAGTGATATGGTGTGTTGTAGGTGGTGTATGATGTTGCATTGTGTTATGTTGTATGGTATGATGTTGTACGGTGGTTGTGAGCTTAGTTGTCGCGGGATTAGAAGTCGCATGAACATGCGCTATCTAGAATGATGGCCAATAGAGGCTGCGTGCGCTCCAGCCGGCGGTTTTTAATATCAAAAGCAATGAGTTCAGTAATTTTGTATGCAGCACCAATATGGACACAAGCGCTAGACATAAAATCATATGCTAGACAAATAAGCGCAGTACATAGGCTTTCTGCAATCCGAACGATATCAAGTATATCTTTTTCAAATAAATCATGATGTTAGCCCGTATTGTCCGACGTGTACAGAGTGCATAGAAGACTCTGAACACGTATTTTTTCAGTGCCCCGCTTTTTAAATATTAGGGAAAAGTTAAAATCTACTCTCGGTGGTAGTGTAACGGTGGAAACTCTGACAACACATATGTGTCAGTGTTCTGAAAAATGGAAAGCTGTCAGCGAAGCGGCAGCTCTAATTATGACAAAACTGAGATACTTGCAACAGATTAGGAGTCAGTCAGTCCGTGCCGTAGAGGAGACTTAAATGTCCTATTCTCTCCCATGAAGTAATACTTAATCC